TTCTTGGAGGAAATTTACTCATATATTGCATGTAACATTGAAAATCCAATAACACGCAGAAAGATAAGTATTCTAAAGTGAGAGTAACATGGGAAAACAGTGAATAAATTCGCCATTGTCAATGCCCTAATAAACAGTTGAATATGAATGCCATGTATTAATATGAACTCTATGAGGGATAAAAAAGGATTTCCTAAAGATTGACATAACTCGGGCAGAATTACCGATAACTACGGCTATTTGGAATTTTGTGGGATAACCCATGATTATTCAAAATTGACGGTACAATGACACTAATGACCCTAATTGCCCGTAATTGTCTGAAAGGAGAAATACATGTATACATATAATATGTGGGAAGAGGAATTAAATGTAGTGCACATTTCGGTTGTTTGCTGGGTGCACTACATAATTTTAGAGCAGAATCATTACCTGTTCTCATCTAAAAAATAATTTCAATGTAGTGCTTATTAATTCTACTTATTTACTGATCAATGATACTTGGTAAATTAGGGGAAATACATATTGTAAAAATTAGTGAATGTAAAATCAGACGTACAGATGTTAATACATGCGTAAACTGTATACATAGAGCTGTTGCAAACGTTTCCGATAATCTAAGTGTTGTAACTCGTGTAACATACTGATTACTTCTGCTATTTGTAGATGAATCGATCCCATATTTTGTCTCATGAGATGTTGTTTAGTTGATATTAAGGGGCCATTATTTTCTTTTTAAATTTATGTATTACTGACTTAAATTTAGAAATAATACACGCTCAATTTCCCAGCTGCCTTATGTACTGCTATGTATAATTATGAACATTATAACAAACTCGAAACTCACAAAAAATCACAACCCTTTTGAGTTTGGCTAATAAAAAAACTATTTTATCTTCGTCTCTCTTGTAATTCAGCTTTTCTGAATATATTATATTCATAATCCCACAGTCTCCTAAATAATTCTCTATTTGACATGAAGACACCGTGACATTTCAAGATAACACATTAGTAGCTGCACTATCATCACCTTCGTATCAACATGATTATTCCATGTGACATTGTGTGTTTGCTTATTTTTTAACCAAGGCTGAATATTCCGAGATAAGGTAGATCGGAAGACACGTAAACTGTATCTTATAAATTGTATACGAGCAAACATAAACTGTTTTTTTTTAATCTCATATCTTTATTTTCAATGATATGTGTATTATCCCATTTAGCTAGATTAAAGTAAGTAACATAATTAAGACGTCGATATAAACTCAAGCAGATCCAGCCACAATGCGAATGTAGATATCATTGTCTGAAATATTAATTAAGGAATATATTTGTGAAACGTCTATTCACATGCTTCGCAATGTAATATATTGTGAATACTGCTTATGTTATAAATGATATATGTGTAGTTGGATTGAATGTGACATGAAAGGAATGCTACTTCGTGACTGTCTGGCTTTAGTTTACAGATATTGAAATTAACTTGCTAATTGTCTAATATAGCCTTGTCGTCCAGATTAAACCGTGACAAAACAGTAGAACAGTCAGCAACTGTTGAAAGCAATTTTTGACAGGTTTTATTTTTAGTTGAATAAACTATAGTTAATGTGTGTGAATGTGATTGAATGTGGTGTTTGTAAGTACTGTTGGTTTTAGTTTTACCAAGACAATACGTTATATGTTATCGGAATGTGACAGTAATCGTGATTAGGCTTCGCAAGGAATCGTCAAGCTTGAAACCTCTTGTTATTGCATGTTTCTTTTCCTGTTTTCTTTTCAAACGACTTTTCTTGAAGTCAGGAGTACCATTTAAACAAATTAGGTATACATTTTACTTGCTCCGCTCTACAAGTGGCTATAACTGTTGTTTTATTAGTCACGTGGTTCGGCCGACATCTTGGAATATGCAAAATCCGGAAGTGCTCAATTGCACTACGATCTGAAGGTTTAGGACGTCCGACTTTTTGTGTAGTAAAAAGTAGCGGTCTTGTGACTTTAGCCGCGATTTTTAATTTCCGGAAAACATTCAAGCATCAACTCGTTCGTAACCACTGGTTCAATTGACGTGATATTTATTAAATGGCATCTTCAAATATTAGCTGACCATCAAGGATGGGATTTGGGGAATGCTATGTAACATCATTAATATGCATATCTGCAATATTTCTAACAGTGTTAATGATGGAGACATGCCACTAACGCTATATTGAATATATTGGACATTGGATTTAACTAACATAACATATGACCATATAAGGTCATGTGACCTTATTGATATGCATAAAAGTATTGCCTCAAACACTGTTTTAGAGACATGCAACCGGTGCCGCAATTATGGAATCATATAAAAGATATGACTAATATATCAGATAACCATATATGGTCATACAAGCTAATTAATATGCATAAATATAATATAATATCTCAAGCACTGTTGCAGACATAAACATGTATGCAGGACCACAATGATGGCATCTGACAAGTGATATGACTAATAATCAGATGACCATATATGGATATATGACCTCGTTAAATATGCATAATATATCGAGCACTGTTACATACATACAATCAGGGTTATGATGATTATATCGGAAAGAGATGAAACACTCCACACTCTTGAGAGTCATTCTGTGTAAAACATTTCGGAATGTATAGGTCGACTATGAATAGGTATGATTTCATTTTATTTAATTAGAAGTACAATTTGATTGTTGGCTAAGTTCCTTAAATTTGTAACGATCTTCAACTAAATGTTGCCGATAATATAACTTTATTATGTAGTCACTATTTGTACAAGTAGACATGCACAGTCGTTGTTGCTGGGGCAATGTCATTACTGAAACAAAGTGAAACTGAAATTGAAACTTGCGGTGGTCGCCGGGCCACATAGTGTTAGATATGGGCCATATACGACGTATAAAACACGTAAACCAAGCAAGACTTGTTCACACGAAACTCGCACACACGCTACGCGACCATCAACTTGTTTCATCTAATTCAGCAAACATTGTTAAAGTTGTACCAAAATTGAATTTAAACTATTCTATCTAGATTGTTAGGATCTGTCCTTATCATACCAGACCATTTGTTGTCACCCGCGAAGAATTAGTAAGAAGTATTCGCTGAATGCTTGTTTCAGTGGGTTTTCAAAAGCCTATTTATGTCCGCGAGTTGTACACACTTTCGCTTTCCACCGACATTCTAAATGCTCAATGACGCGCTGCTACATATTTAATCTGGGGAAATTCCATAGGCTCCACACTCGAGATGCAAACACTGAAAACATGTTGGCATTTTGTCATGCTCGCATGCATTGGTAAACAATTTATTTCCTTTGGATGAGTTATGACAGATGAGGATTTTGAATAGGAGTGACAAAAAATGAATATTAGAACATACGAGTCACGTTTTACATAATTTTTAGAATTGTGTGTGTTGTCTATTAAAACATTTTCGTAGTGATGACATGAATTATCCTCTTTTATAAACAGGATCATTGAAAATGTGCTGTTGTAGTACCTCCACCTACCTGGGTGTCTTTCCATTCCATCCGTAGAGTGTAGTTCGGCAGGATACTGGGATTGTCGTTTATATGTTGTAGGGCCAACTCCACGCCGGGTAAAATACCGGAACCGTCCCAGACGCCGCCTCCCATGGGAAATAGAGCCCCTATCGTGAGGTTAACTTTGGACGCTTCTGCAGCATAGATCTCAAAGAGAACCAACAGTGTGGATATTCTTAAAATAAACATCGACATCGTGGATGATAAACCTGCATGGACAAATTAAATAATAAGCAAGGATGAGTGTGATGCTCATGCGTAATGCTTTGGCAATGCGTTTGATCTAGTGTATGCGCGCTTACCTGTACATATTCGTCTGCTATGTTATATAGTGGATGGAGTTGTCTATTTTCCAGCACCTGGGGTTTTATTAAATTCATTCAAAAAATACGACCGTACCTGAAATCCTTTATACATATCAATTTAATTGTTGCACGCCAGATGCAGGCAATGTGAATGTCTACTAAATAAAATAATCAGTGTATAGCAATCGGTTACAACACAAGACAGTGTCATAGATTAATTTCCGATGTCTCCATTCTATGGAATAGTATGTCTAGAAATAGTATTGTAGTACTGTACTGTACTGTAGGATGTTCGGTTTAGAGATTTAAACTTATGAAAAATACACGGAATAATATAAACAACTACACATTTTTATTTTAAATGGTTATGTTGATATAATTGAACACGAAAAAAAAATTCACGATTTTCGCAAACAGATAAGAGAGTCGTAAAAACTGAAATAACAGATGACGTTAAAATGTCGCAAAAATCAACGACCTCATTTCAAAGCAAGAAGGCAGACAATATGAGTACGCAAATCCAAGTCAAGCCAGTTGCATCATTACGGGGTGCTCCGGAAAATGTACCTGTGACGATGTTTGGCTTCTGTGACTTCTATGATATCTTGATTGAACCATGAATATTTCTGCTTACGTCTCCTCTTTTCGTAGGGGCGTTTGATGTACCTGTATCGTTGCTAAAATATTTAAGAATGTCAGTCAGTCACAGGTTAAACGATGTTAATCCCCTAAATGTTTACTCAATCTACAAAGACTGTTAATTTACACATAGTATAATATAGTTCGTCTAATCAAAGCTGACACAAGCATAACGATGTGAAAAGGGCCTCCCGAATATATTATATTTTTGTCAGTGCTCAATATTCAAATTTTCAACATCTGGTTGTGTTAGTACATAGACAAATAATAAACACCGAGATTATTAGTCGGATCACTAACATCATTTCAATTAGCTTCATTTAATTAGTGTTATAGTTTAGCCCACTTGTGTAGATTAATTGTGTGCACGCAATTATTTACAAGGAGTATTAATTTTGCATTTATTTCCAAACTCAGATTTGTTGTCCAGAGCTCAATAGTATGTATATTCTACTCGCTTGTTTGTCTGTAAAAAAGTATGCAGGTATTTGTAGGTATATTCGGTTTATTGTTCAGAACTCTGACACAAATAACGGGACACAGTGTATCAAATCTGTAATTCTTGTGTTTATCGATCGATTTAAATAAGCATCTTAGTAATGTTAATCCTCTCAGAGGACGTAAGTTGCATCCGGTTATTTAAAAGATGAGGATAACATCATATTGTGTTCACACGAGAACTTCTTACATAAGGTGTAAATATGTCGGCCAATGGATAATCCGCACATTGGCAGCATTACTTTTTCAATAGAGCAATAATACTGAACAATTCTGGACTATGCCGTAAGGTTCTCATGTGCACTCGGGCTGTCTTCTTTTAGACATTTCCCTGGAGCATCAGAAAGGAACGAAATTCACTGCTCGATGCAATATTGATAGTTACATATTTGAATATGTGTTGTATAGTGATCGTTCCATTTAAATCAGCTCACGTATTCTGTATGCTGAACTGATTGCAACTGAACTATAGAGCCGTACATACAATTGTTAATATCAGAAGAAAACATGCCAGTATCTCAACACTTTTCCTGGTATAAAGAATGTCCAACTGAGATATGTGTCGTGCCATTGAATAACGGACAGGGTTTGTGATAGACAGGGGCTCATAGAAAGGATGGCAATTGTGCGACAACTGATAAATAGATCCCAGTGACTGGAATTAATGAGTGAACTGATCAAGGCCGATTCCTTCAGAAGACAATACATGGGCTGATTGGTGATGAAGTATGCTGAATCTAAAATTAATGACTCAACACTTAGCCGGAAACATACTTGTAATTGTCGGTCTTTAAAACAATGCGTAAGTCATGTTTTGTTCCATAGACATTGATGCCGTTAACTCTATTGGTTTTCTATAGTTCTGAATTATCAGGCTTGCTACGAATCTTGTCAAAACTACGTGAGTTGCTCAGGTGAGTGTTTTGAACTCGGACAACTTTGGCGTATGGCTGGGCACACTGTGGCGTATGAGTAGTTATTCGTCAAATTGAATCTGTTGAAATTGTAGCTTGAAAAAATCACATAGTTTAAAAAGGGCATTCATAATATGGTTTAATAGAAGTCTGTCACTGTTCTTGAACTCTTTCTACTTTCTACTACCACGGAGGGTGTCATATATTCCGGCGACTCTCAAAGCTTATTATTCAATTTTTCAGTTGACGATGAGCTCTTCGTGTATATAAAACTGCATGTCCACCTTTGTTGATGTGCTATAATTGCTACTAGTGACCATTTTAAAGATAATTATTTGTGAACCATCGTGTTATTGTCTTTCATAACGCTTTGACAATTTATCCAATTAAAACCATCGTACTCATTGTAAACGCGTGTATTGTATGTTTTGCTTCATTAGTTGTGAAATGATTACAAAACTATTGTGTATATTGTCCAAGCCACATTGACAGGAGTCATACAATCGTGGTATCAAGGTCATCTATCACACTTAGATTGAAACCCTCAAAGCTCGGATCAACTGAGTGATACAATAAACTACTAGTGGTATTAACACGCATTTGAATAGCCGCATACTCGTTTCATTGAGTTCAAAAAAATACAATACAAGAAATATGCAATGTACTGCCAATGTTGTCATATCCTATGTCTCATTGTATTGTATATGGATTACATAAGGATATTATGAATGTCATAACGTACATGATAACATTATTATTGAAATATTGACAAACCTATATAGATTTAATCAGTTACGTACTCTATGAACGTATTGATAACGCATATAAATATAACGTATTCTTATTTGACTTTCTGTTTGGCCCAATAATGCGGGATTTATAATACATACACTGTGTTTCTTATCTTGATCCTAGCTAAACATTTAAGAGCTTTCAGCATTTTCAAATAACTGATTATAGTATATTATATCTTTTTCGTCATTGTATTACTATAAATTATATATCTCAACATAAAAAAAATACCTGAGTAATTGATTTAAGTTAATCCAATCAGCATCGTTGATTAATTGAATTCTGGGCATTTTACAAGAGCGTTTGCACAGTATATCGCTGAAAAAATGAGAGAACAATGGTACGTTAATGTGTACCATGAACCCTGAATCACCCTATTCCTCATATCGATGAGCTCTGATCTGAGTGAATACCCGAGCATTTACTTTGAAGTCTGAGTTAGATTCAAAGAGCTGTAGCGATAGTTCAATTCCTACTGAGACTGATGATTTATTTCGATACAACATATGTACAGCTATAGTCCCTTCTGGTGAAAACCCATGCCCGGGGTGACACCGGCGTGATTGCAATCGCGCAGAGCAGCCTGAA